GTGTCCTTTGATACTAAATCTTCCACTGCGCTGCTTCCCAGCCCATGATGATAATGATACGAATGTGTGTTGTTGATTTCTCGTTGGTTCACCCTTTGCACCGTGCACATTGACATCTTGCGAATGTTGCACCTATGCTGCTGGTTGTTGCCACTTTCGTCATTGCTAGATCCTAGGCTCTCAGTGCATTTCACTTTCTGATATGCTACACAGACCCAGGAAGCAGAGGCTGGCACGAGTTGAAGTGCAATCCAAGATTACAAAAGGACTGGCCGGTCCTTCGGGACATCCGTTAAAATTGGAACGATACAGAGAAGATTAGCAAAAAAAAAGGACTGGCCAGCCTCCCATTCGGGGAGATTGCTCATTTGCAAGAAGTGTGGAAGTGCTGGTGCACTTGTGCGCTGATGTGAGGGGCAGAGCGCTGAAGCCAGAGTGCTGCGCTAAGAGCGAGAGAGAGAGGAAGACAGCGCTGGCAGGGAGAAGGCAGCCATAGCTGCGCCAGAGCAGAGTGTTAGTAGTAGACTACAGATAGGTAGTAGGCATGTCAGTGGGTGTATTCAGAGTAGATCCTTGAGTAGAAGTTAGTGAGTGTGCACGCATGTACGGAGAGAGGACACAGCGAGGACAAAGCTAGGGAGAAGACCAGCGAAGAGAAGAGATTCATAGAGAGAAGAGCAGTGAGGAAGAGATACTTACCTGAGTGTTTATGCTGGTTACTGGTTACCTTTGTATGCGCTGATGAGCGCTGGTGACTTGAACTCTTCTTGCTCTTGTAATACTTTTTGGAAATGATAAGCTGCGCTACCTTGGTCTTCATCTCTCTGGACTCCAGTGTGTATTTCGTGTGATCACATACATGCATGTGGTGTGAATATGTGTGCTCACTGGTGTTGAACTAGGAGGTTCATTGCACACTTTGCGAAACAAACTGTAAAGATTAAAAAAAACAAAAACTATATATCGTCAAACAGAGCTTCCCGGTAAACTGTAGGCAGAGAGGAGAAGAGGACAACAAACGAGGGGCTGTGACAAATTGTTTCGTCGGAGTTTCACTGACTATCAGGAGGTTGAACCCTCAACAGTCTGCAGAACATATATATCATATTGTCACATAACTATGAACTAAAAGAGCGCAGTTTGCGAAACAAACAGTAAAGATAAAAAAAACAAGACAAAGTTGAGGGGCTCACTGAAACCATTCATGCATTTTTCTCGTTCTTCTTTTAACTGCCCCTTCACCGTGCCTCTCACGCACAAGGCTCGCCGCATTGACGAAGTTGAGCGCGAGCTCCCCGCATCCCCGAGTGCCATAACGGCCCACTTGTACGGTATGAGAAAGAGGCAAGAGTAAAGGGGGAGGTGATAAACACAGGGAAGAGAGATGAAGAGAGGACAAACAAAGAACGAAAAATGGAAAGTACATATATCATATTTTGCGGGGTGCCAGCTGACCGCCAACCGAGAGGTGGTAACGGGTGGAACGGTCGGCTGGTCGACCGCCCACCAATCCAGGGGTGTGCCGACCGTCGGCGTGACTACCCTGTTTTCAATATTCTAATCTTCAGTAAACGGACCATGTATGAATGGCCAACCTGATGAATACCCTGCCCAGAAAATGGTAACCACCACAGGTCAAAATCTCCAATCCTGAGTTAAGTTTCTTTAACAGAGTCCGAAAATTGGGACCCCCCTGCCCCCCACCCCCTCCGCCCCGCTGCTTTAAAAAAAGAGAAAAAAAAAAAAATTGGAATCCATGACTACCTGTACCTGCTACCTTCTTCCCCCGAATACAACGTACGGTCATTACAGCTGTAGTTGGGGCGTCTTTCAGTCTAAAATTCTCTATTATAGATGTAGTTGGGGCATCTTTCAGTCTAAAGTTCTCTAAATACAGCTATAATGAACGTACGTTGTATTTGGGGGAAGAAGGTAGGTGTCTGAATGGACAACGGCTAGGACCATTAGAACAACTATCGGAGGAATCACAGGTCAGGAGTTCAAACCCTGTGCCAGTCTACGAGTTCAAATGGCATCTATCATGTCAATGTCCATATTACTCCATAATGTGGGTTGGGCTGAGACAGGGGAGTTACTCAGCAAAGAATGGCGTTCTGTGAACTCTTAAGGAAGTTTGAATGAGAGCATGGAGACGGAATTGTACAGACCAATTTTGTATTAATACCCTTGGCTTCGTTGAGCTTTTTCGCCATTGCCACAGCTAGCTGGATGTTTGCATCAATGAAGTCGTCGGAAGATCCCTGAAAGCAAACAAGCACATTCGCATCGCACGTCGATCAGAGTGTAATTCCGCCAAATGGACAAGACGAAATGCAATCTTTCGGGGACATCTGTTAAAATTGGAACGATAAAGAGAAGATTAGCATGACCCCTGCGCAGTGATGAAGGGGAGAAGAAAAGCCAGCAAAGATTTAGAGAATTTTAGCCTCTTTAGAGACCTAATAATAATAATCACGGTGTGAGGTGTACAGACAGATGATGGCCTTTTAATTTTTAAACCACCACTGCAGTACACCTGGGCCTGGAGGCACTGCACTGTGCGCCAAGCTTTCCAATCCGCCGGTGCCGCACTTATTTTTCTTTTTCGCCTGGCACCGCCAGCCATTGTGGTCCGGCAGCCCTGAACACCGAAAAGTTCGGAGTTGACATCTCGCGATTTTCTGCAAGGCTGGGCCCGTGTAGTGGCAGTTTAAAGCCAGATACATGAAAAGGTAGATTGATGGAGGAGGCATGTTTGGCATGCGGCAAGTCAGTCCATCCATGCTGCACCTTTGTGAGAATGAATTGCAACTCCTTTGCAAGCATACTTCCCGTTGTTCCCAATACATGTCATCTGTTCGAATTTCACGTTAATGATCGACAACGGGCCTCACTCCAGTACACAACACTGTACATGCATTTGGAATTTCGGACGCTTGCTGGACCCAATACATTCAAAATGTTGGACTTGTCCGAAGGCACCTGGTCCAGAAACCATCTGAATGCATATAGAGTGTTGTGTAGTGGAGNTCTGAATGCATATAGAGTGTTGTGTAGTGGAGCGAGGCCCATGCATTTGGAATTTTGGATGCTTGCTGGACCCAATACATTCAAAATGTTGGACTCGTCCAAATGCACCTGGTCCAGAAAGCATCCGAATGTGGAAGTACCCTCCACACCCCCTCTGGGGCAATTTCCGAAAACGTTTTGTAACCTCATGTTCTAGGAAAGAACCCATTGGGACCATTAGGTCTTGCACAAGAGGACCACCGGACCAGTTTCAGGGATCATGAGGGTGGAAACATGTTTTCAAATTTCGAAAGGAGTGCAAAAAATTCCTTATCGGTAGACTTGACGTCCGTGAGTTTCTGTTTCCCTTCCTTTGTTTGCTGTCATTCTTCCGTCATTGTGGCAAATTGAAAGAAACGCTCGTAGTTCTAGGAACCAACCCATTGGTGGGGCCATTAGGTCGTGGAGAAGAGGACCAATGGACCCGTTTCAGGATCATGAGGGTGGGAACGTGTTTTCAAATTTCGAAACGAGTACAAGACTCCTAGTTGGTAGATTTTTTTTTTTTTTTTTGTTTCTGAAAACGTCTGTAACCTTATGTTCTAGGGACCAACCCATCGGGACCATTAGCTCTTGGAGAAGAGGACCACTGGACCAGTTTCAGGGATCATGAGGGTGGAAACATGTTTTCAAATTCCAAAAGGAGTATAAGATGCCTTGTCGGTGGACTTGATGTCCGTGAGTTTCTTTTTCCTTCCTTTGTTAGAGGTCGTTCTTCCTTAGTTCTTCCCTTTTTACACACCCGAACATTAGGCTTGCATCCGAGGACTGCCAACGAAATCCAGTAGGTGACAATTGTTAGAGAGATACCGAACATACCTTGTACCCGGACACACTGCTAGGAAGAGGCCTGCATACAATTCATGCAAGAAAATTATACAAGTTAGTTCTAGCAAACGTGGATGAGCTGCCAGTTGGGCTGTGCAGTGTGTTAAGACTTCTTCTTTGATTGCCTCCTCCCTTTCACCACCCCTGGCCCCTACCACGCTCCCCTCCCCCCCCCCCCCCCCCCCCCTCTTCCAAGCCATTTCCCTTCCTTTCTTTTGCCTGCTCCATCTCTTCTGACTTTTCTTTTTTTTTTTTTTTAATGAAACACACACACTCACACACACACACACACACACACACACACTCAGTCCAGGTGCTTATCACCGGCAAGCAAATTTGGACCAAGAATCAGACAAAAACGACGAGATGGAGCAGTTTGGCTGCTCCACCTCTTCTAACATGTTTCACTTGGGCATAAGTGCAGCATTAGTTCAGCATAGGAGGTATCTTGCCCCAGTGGCTGACTACCGGGAGTACAGATGTGATAGAAATAGCCGAGTCAGTCAAGACCGAAAGACGCCAAACAAATAGCCGCGGCCTGTGCAGCAAACGTATGTGAAAACGATCTCGAAAAATCCATAGAATACATCAATGAAGCACTTTCCATAGCTTTAGCTTTGGCACCTCCGTCATCAAGACAGAGGAGCTGGCATCCCCGACTAGTACACATGTTTAGAACTCATGGGAAACAGATCAAGGGTTCAGGTCAAGCTGGATGGCTACGATATGATAATGTTGAAGGACTAACACACTTTCTCTAAATAAAAAAGAAAACCGAAATGAAAAAACGAAAAAAAATCCGAACCTGGGAGGCAAGGAGTCATCGTTAACAGCCAAGCTAATGACAGACAACAGTAACTGCTAACAATGAATTGAAAAACACAGAAGCTGAGAGGAGTGGACAAAAGAGCAAGGAATACTTGACTGTGAACGGAGAGTTGACTGACACAACTAGACACCAGATATTCGGAAGAAGAAGTTAAGCCCCCCACTCCCTTTTCCTTCCCCAGCTCCGGGACTCCACTCATTTCTGCGAATGGGAGAAAGGAACTGCGGTCGTCCGATTGGTCATCCAACGGACCAACTGAAAAACTGTGAGGCCCTGTAGTTAAACCACCAGTACTTACCAAAGTCGTGCCCGTATACAAGCCACGATTTTAGGGAACGTACGGGCCACCACAGGAGCGCCCAAATTCATCAGACTAGAAACGTTTCCTCTATTTTTTTCCTTCGGCCAATAGCTGGGCCAAGTACTGGTGGTTTAAGCCACCACACTCTTGGAGGTCATCAGCAGGAGAAACTGAGGAAACAACTTCGCAGTCCAAACTGCTCAACGGCCCATCACGATTTTGCCGAATCTCTTGCCGGCCGAAAATTACTTCGCCAAATCTCTTTTGGGCCCAATTCAATTTTGCCAAACCTTCTTTCACTGTGCTCACTGTTTCTTCCCAAACTGGTGTCGGGCTGGGCCTGTCATGGGCAGCGGCATTCTTAGACCACTACCGGTAGGCCAAAAGACCCATGCGCCCTTTTATACCCTTGTACAGCCCGGTATGATCCAGTTAAAAATGCAGTTAAAAACGAAGCCTAGATCAGTTGGTACACCCATAAACTGGTGAAATACAGATGCGAGTTCGAATCCTGATGGATGGATGATCGCAATTCAATAATTCTGGAATCTGAATTACCTGGGACCGGTCAACTCAGTGATGACATCTGAAGTCCATCGCCCTTATATAAGAAGGGGAAAGAAGAAGAAGGAAAAACAAAAAAAAAAAAAAAAAGGAAAAAAAAAGGGAGAGGGAAGAGGGGGAGAACAAAAGAATTTAAACAAGTAACAAGTCTATAAAAAGTATCCAAACTTTACACACTGTTACGATCCTGGTCAATGTTGAAGTACAGATTCGTCAGAAAGTACAATGCCATCCAATTGCAAAAAGAAATGAACGAACTTGAGAGGAGAGAGAGGGAGAGAAGAAAAAGAAGAAGAGAGAAAGAAGAAGAAGATGTTGCACACCAGCATAGACCAATGATAATGCTCTTCTTCTTCACCAACCACTCTCCTCCTCCTTATCTCCTCCTCTCTTATTCAAACAATAAATAACAATAATAATGTCGAATGGCTGAACCAGAATCAATGTCTGAATCCCTCTTCTACTGCAGGCACAGCATGAGGTCCACCATAGCCATGACCATCCTTCCTCTTCCTCTTCACGTAGGCCAAGGCTATGGCGGACTACTAAGGGCTCTGCCCTCATGTCCAAAGGACAACACGAAGCAGCTATGTCGCTTCTCATCAGGCCACCATGCCTGACTCTGCCTCGAGCTTCCTTGGTGTGGCACTACCCCAACTGGGGCCTTCCAGATGCAGCCCCGCCACTCTCCTCCTTAGTCCTCTTCTCCCTCCTTCTCCTACCGGTAGAGCTCCACCATAGCCGAGGTGGGAGCTCCCGGTCTCCCTCCTCCCAGCAGCGCTGAAGTGCCCAGCGCTCCTCCGGCCAACGCTCCAAGCAGTGTGTCGCCAAACTTGCACACCGAAGAATGAGGCTGAGCTCTTGGCTCAGCCCAAAGATATAACGGCCTACTTGCCTCTTGGGCGGTGACTTCCTAGGCCGCGCGGCCTCCCAAGCAACCGGTACCTCCTCCCTTTCTGAGGGAAACATCATTGCAGACTCTGATATTGCCCGTACAGGCCCTAGACTCAGACTGGTTGGACTGGTACCCGCCTAGACCTAGCCTATAACTACTGCGCCTCTAAAAAATGCCAACTTTGTCTTCTTCTGCTCGGCCTCCAGTACCTGGCACATCTACTTCTACTTGGTGTGGTACCGGCCTGCTACTTGAGTGTTTTTCCGCTGCCCTAAGTGTCCCGGGCCCTAACTGTCGCGGGTGCCCCGCCACTTGAGTGTTTTTCCCCCCCTGCAACCCTCAATGTCACGGCCACAGGTAAGTACCGGCCCTACAGGCCTTCAAACAAGCAAGTACCCCTGCGGGTCACACACACACTCAGGCCGACCAGCACTCAGACAGGCACGCAGACCATCAAGCACGCACACACACACAGACTTAGAAAACTCAGCAGAATGCGGGAATCTCAGCAAGGCATCCATTCCCGTGGCAGAACTCAGAAATCAGCAGTGTTCTCAGTCTGTGTTTTGGTGGGTCATTACAAACTAAAAAAAAAACAGAAGTGGAAATTTTATTATGAGCCGGGCAAGGAGTCCAAGAAGGCAACTTCAGAAGAGAGGGATGGGGATCAGGGGGGG